AACTCTTCAAAGTCATCTGCACCAACTTCACTAATATCACTTTCCATGTTATGTTTGACCAAAGTATCAAAATTAACAAATTTCTTCTTTCCTAATAATAAAAAGTAAAAGTTATACACATTTTCAATTGAAAAAATTAAATAAATCGATGAATACTTGTCTGTTTGACTTGAAACTTCACAGGAAAAATTTTGTATATCTACTCTACTAGCCTGTGAAATTTGAACATAAGTTAATATGTAGAATCTCAAAATCTGATAGTGAACCTAGAATTTTTCATCAAGATGATAGAATAAAAAAAATACACAAACGTAAATCTTGAATATCTCTATGAGTTTTCATCCAATCCATCTAAAATTTAAAATGTAAGTAGATGAATACCGTACCTTTGACTTTACTTAATAGCATTTTTGTTGTTTCATTTGGATAAACAGGAGAAATATTCGTTCAAAGTTGTTGTATGTCAAAGAAAAAATTCATGTATATATTTTCAATAGAAAAATCATCATAACTTCTTAAGCACTTCTCCATTTTACCTAAAAACAGAGATTCTAATGCAAAATAACCTCAGCTTCAACTTTTGTTAATACCATTTTATAGATTTGCTAGCAAGAAATACCTTCCGAAATCGATTTTTTACTGATAAAAATTTTATAAAAAATAAAATTTGTAAATCATTTTGTGATACAAAATTAAAATCAGAATACAATATAAATTTGTTGGACGTTTATGTATTTTCTATATTACACATATGATTAGATCATCAAAGTTTCACAAAAACATGTAAATTTCATAAAAAAAAATCGATAATTATGATTTACAAATTTACTAATTAAAAACAACTATAAATAGAAGGTGAATTCCTCTTAAAAAAAATCCTTATCGAATCTTAGGATTTGATACCTGAAAGCAATACTCTTGGGGTCAGCTTTCATCAATACAGAGCTCTTCGAGCCAGTTATTCAATAAAAAGTAAGGAAATTATTGACTTTTCTTTGTATTTTTATTAATAATATTGAATTATATTATCTATAGATGTTTTAAGGAAATCATTTTCATGTTGTTTACTATAATTATGAATTGAAACAAGGTTTTATATTGAATCATCTACGAGAATTATTTGATGGAAAAAAGAAAAAAATTAAAGAATATCTTATTATAACTATTAATAACAATATATACGTACATATAAAACTTGATAAAATTTATCATGTTAAGAATATAAAATTTTTTGACATAGGTAAATATCATCCTGTAATCAATGTTTCAAAATCAAAAACTAATATTTTATATTACATTAAAACCTGTAAATATATAACAAATATCAATTTTAATAAAACAATTTCTACTTAGTATATTTTGTACCAAGTAGATTTTTATTTACGTAATTTTATTTGCAATATTATAAAATAAAATATACAATAAATATTTAAAAAACAAAATGGGACCAAATTATAGATTTTCTTATACATTATTAACCAATTTTCATTGTATTCCTTGCAATGAAAAATATCAATGTGCAAAAAAAAATCAAATTGATAATAAGGAAAGAAAAAGACATGAACATGAATTTGAGGAAACTGAAGAGATATCAAAATGTTGTCTTTGCAAAAAAAATCACTGGCGCTGTAAAGAAGAAACTTGCACTAAATGTTGTAAACTTGCTTGCTGTAATAGTATAAATTGTTTAAACTGTCAAGAACAAGGTATCAAATATGAATGATGTTTTCCTCATACTCAGGAAGAATTTGAAAGTTATGGTGATATTTTGACTAGATGTGTTACAAAATTTGAACATACGACTCAAAGAAGATTACATGCACATGTTTTTTTGCAATTCAGAACTCAAATGTCTATGAAAGGTATAAAACAACTCTTTAAAGATGACAAGATTTCATTTCCACCAGGTGTTTTGTTGAAAGGAACATCTCAAGATGCTGAAAATTATACATTAAAAATTTGGGGTCATTGCAAGATTCATCACAAACCAAATGAAGGAAAGTATTGTCGATGTGATTTTTTCAAGTTAGAACTAGGAAATTGCAAAGTTTGTAAAGAGGATTGTTGCAAGTTACAAAGAAAGGAACAGCTTGATGAAGATAGATCTGGACCTTTTATTTTTGGAAAACATAGTTTTATGGTAGGAAGCTTTGATAAAACAGTTGACAAGATTAATAATACAAGACTAGATGATATAAACAGAAAAACTAAATTACATGATGAAGGAATTACGTATAATCAAGCTCTTCAAAATCCTAAAGAATTAATGCCACTATCTTACTATGATAGTGCTGGATCTCATAAAATGATGTCAAAAGATCTTGAAGTATTGACAGCAAAAAAAGTTAAAAGATTTTGAAGACCAGTTACATTTTATTTTTTTGGTGATGGTGAAGCAGGAAAATCAAATCTTGTACAAAAATTATTTTGTTCAGAATTATACTTGAAGAAAAAGATACAGAAAAGTAGAAGTTTATGATAGAATAGATATGAGAATCAGTCAGTTGTTTTTTTAAATGAATGGTATACAAAAGTTAGATGGGATGATATTGTGAATTATTTGAATGATACTCCAGAGGAAGTAGAAGTTAAATGTAAAGGATTTAAACCTTTTCTTGCAAAATATATATTTATGACCTCACGAAGATCTCTAGAAGAATCATTTAATTTTGGTCAACGTAATAAGAGTGAGGATGAAGTACATAGAGATTGGGGTCAGTTTGACAGGAGACTTGATTTTATTATTGAATTTAAAGGAAAATAGAATGATAATATCGATTTACGTATAACAGAATTGATATTTCATAGAGGTTCTGTGAATGAGTTTAGGAACATGATCTGGGATTTAAAATATGATAAAGAAGAATATACAACTGAAGAATTAACAGAAGTTGTCAAAGATTTGAACAAGGATGAGGATGGAGAGATCGTAATTAAGAATAATCAAGTATATTGGAGACATCATTTTTCTGAGTTTAAAAAGAGATACTTACAAGATTATTCAAGATGTAAAGAATTGTCTGATTACAAGCAAGAAGTTCTCTTATAATCTTCAAAGTTCTTTGATTCAAGTTCGCAAGAAACTTAATGAAACAAAAGCAAAAATCAAACCAAGTTTAAACGAAATTATTAAGAAAACCAAACTGAATAATCTAAGCAAAAATCAAAATGAAATTGATATCGAAAGGTTAAATTTAGTAATAAAAGGATGGAAGTCTAATTTTTCATTATATGAAAATGTCAAGAATCTTAATAATGAGTTAGAAGAATACAGGGATAAATATTTTAAATTGAATACTAAATAGAATAATTTAGTTCATAATGAATAATTTTTTTTATATTTGTATTTTCTTTTATTTGTTATTATTTTTTATAATAAAATATTAAAAAAATAA